TCTCCCTCTCCCACTCCCCGTTTGTGTTCCCTCTCTCGCTGTGTCTTTCTCTGTCAAATAAATAAATAAAATCTTTAAAAAAAAAAAAAAAAGGATTTCCTAGCTCTGTCAGGGCTTAGAAGCAGTGAATGGTATTTGTTATTATTTAAAAAAGTAATCAATTTGCAATATATACATATATCAAGTCATTACATTATATACCTTAAATTTTATCTGTCAATTATATCTTAATAAAACTGGGGGGAAATGGCATTATAAAAGGGAAAAATCAACAATAAAATACAATGCCAGGTAATAAAAGGTTTCATTTTATTATGGAATGAAACAAGGAACTCTGTCTCCTAAGGATACTGCAGGATTTTCACACAAAATGGGGTAATGCCTGGGATTTGCTTTAAAATAATCTGAGGGAAGGGAATTATAAATGAATCCTGATTTCTATATGTAATTCTTGAAGCTAGAGGATGGGTACCTGGGGTTCAATATACTATTCTACCTGTTGTGTGTTTAAATTTTCTATTATAGAAAGTTAAAAATACAACACTATGGGCCTCTTATTTAGAGAGATGGAGCTAGCTATAAGAACTCAAAATGGACCAGTAAGTAAACGAGAATTTAGAAGAACAAGAAAACTGACACATAGCTCTTCTGTGTATGGCTCAACCTTATTTTAACCATTTCACTTATGTTAACTTTAACTAACTTAATACTCGCTGCTATTATCTGTGGTGTGTGCTGGTGTGGTTCCGATTCTACAGAGGAGGAGGAGGAGGTACAGAGAGGTGAAGTCAACTTGCCTAAGATCGTAAGGCCGTTAGGTGGTAGAGTCAGGCATCCAGCACCAGAGGTCGAATGTTCTCTTTTGCATCTCATCGTGGAGCCCAAGTTAAGATTTTTCTCTTGGTTTCCATATCCATTGACCAAGCTGTCGATTCCCCAACTGTTCCATGGAATGTCAACAGCTGTTCCATTAAAAAAAAAAAAAAAATTTTTCATGGAAAAAGTTAACCCAGCATTTTCCTAGTGTGTATGGAGATTATTTATACTGAGGACTTCTCAGAGAATTTAATGTTAAATGTATATTGTAAATCACCAAGAGGAACATTTATCTTGTACAGTTCTAAAATTATTTTTCCATGGAATGTTTTGTTTTGTTTTTACAGGATATCTATAGATATCTCAAGGAACATACAGTTCTGTGCCATTTTTGTACTCTTCTTGAATATCATCCACTATTTCACATCATTAGTTTCTATGCTTTCACCCAAATGATCTTTCTTAAATGTAAAATCAAATGTTGTCACTCCCTGAATCACCGTGCAGTGAACCTTCATTCTTTTCAGACTCATACTCATTGCATACAAGGGCCTTGCTTGCTTTATGGAGCAGTCTTGAAAGCCCCCTGTAGGCCAGGTACTCATCTCAGTCCATATAGAGTCTGTCATGGTTTGTATGTATTACAGTTACTTGCTGTTAGACTGGGAGCCCTCTAAAGACCACGTCCTGTTTGGTTTTTATTTTCTACCTAGCCAGTTAATACCTGTACATAGTGGTTTCTCAATAAATGTTTGAATGGATTCTATTTTCTGGCAGTTTTAATTGCTAAAAACATGTTCCTTAAGTTGACCTAAAGTCTGGTTCTCTCCAGTATTGTCACACTGAGTGTTTCTTTTTGCTCATAACAGTACAATGTTTGAGTTTCCCTGAAGTCCTTTCCGTGTGAAACTTTTTTTTAACAGTGAACATTAGTTCTCAGTTGCTAACATGGCAGTCAAAACTGAATTTAGTACTACATTCTATATATTATTAGAACAGTTTTTATTTTTATAGAAACCTACATGTTTTCTATCAGTTATTACCAGACCATTGTCCATCATCTTCTACTTGTGCTCGTTAGCCCATCTTATTTTGACCTATTCATTTTAATCTTGATTAAATCATCTGTTGTTGGAAAGCAGCTCAGCTAGCTTTGTGTTATCTTTAACTTTTATGTATACAACTGTTGTTTCTTCTTCCAAACCTATGAGCAGAAGACAGTCTCCCATAGCTTCCAGTAGATAGCTCATCCTAGGCTAATCGCGGGTCAGCCTTACTGTATCCTACTTAACAAATATCTTCATGTCTTAAGTCTGTCAACTCTACAGCATCTACTCTATCTTTCACTCACCCAGAACTTACTTTGGCAAATGTTTTGTGGAAATGTAGACCATTGATTACCATAGCATCTGTAAATTGAGTTCTGCTTCATATTCTGTTTGACTTTGTGTAAGCTACCCAGCCCCCCACGCCTGGCTCAGAATTTCTAAAATTTTAAATGGCCTAACTGGTCTCAGGTTTTTTGGTAAGAATTAAAGGGTCAAAATTGTATATGGTGGGACATCTTTCCCAATTACGGCATTTTAATACATTTCACAGGCTTTAAAAAGTTGCAGGAAGAAGAAAGCAAAGGGAAAGAAGAGCGTTCAGAAGTCTTTATACGGGGAAAGAGACCTTGCTTCGAAGAAGCCGCTCCTCAGTCCTATCCCCGAGCTGCCTGAGCTCTCCGAGATAATGGCTCCCACTCCAGGCACCGGCAGGCTGTGTTCAGGTACCCTGCTCTTGTCCTGTTGCTGTTTTATCTTCTCTGCCACTTTCTTGCTGCTGCACCCTCTTTTCCCCATTCACTGTTAAAGAGCATACAAATAAAAATAGCAACCTTCCGTCATATTACCATGAGAATTTTAAGTTAAGGAAGCAATAGTTCGTAACTTTTACCCTCTTCAGAATCTGATAGGAGCTCTGGACCCTCTCCCCAGAGAAACTAAGACACAAGAGAGTGCATATAGTTTTAGGGGAAATAATTTCCTTCCATCCTTTTTTCTTTTTAAAGCATTTTAATGTTTTTTATAGTATTCTGCTCAAATGAATTCTGTGTAGTGTTACGGTCCATCGTGAAGAGTAAACAAGGTGATGGCTCAGTAAGAGATAAATCTTTTATAATTAAGGACAAAAAAAAAAAATACTTGCCCCATGATGTTTCAGTAGAGTTGGCACTGCTAAGCATCTACTAGAAATAACATTTATAAATTGAACTGGATTACTTTGAAACAGTTTTGTTGGAAAGCAAAGATTAAGTCAGTTGACATACTGGTTAGATAAAAATTGGAATTGCTTCTGTTTTATAATGGCTGAGATTTAAAATTCACTAAAATCATGCTGAAATTAATAAGAGTATGTATTCATTCGGTGTGTTCATTTTGTACAGAATAATTTTAAAAATAGGCGTTTTTGTCAGTCATCAGAGATTTAGAGCCTGCATTCCATTTGCAACATATCTGTAGAATTTATAATAGATCCAAGGATGAATAAGCTCTATGCCACCCTAGACTATTGGCTTCTACCTACTTCTCAACTTCCGGAAAGCACAGAGTTTAAGCAAACCCCTGCTAGCCCATCATCACACCCAAGCTGCCCCAGCCCCTGGGCTCCTTCCCCAGTCTCTTTATGTGCTTGTCTTGGGGCAGGGGGTTGGCCACACCGCCTCTTTTTAATCTGGCCTAATGCTGCTTATCCTTGAAGATTTAGCTGTGCTGGCTGCTTTTCCAGGAAAGGTCTTTGTTCGCATTACACCTTTACCATCAATTTTGTAATATGCCGTCTACCTCCCTCCCCTGCAAACTGCAGTCCCCTTGAGACTGAAAACTAAGTCTTCATTATATCTCCAGTTCCTGACTGGAGTTTTTCCAGAGATGTTGAACAATGACTATTAGTATATGTTTTCCATCTTGCATCTTATTAGAGAATTTCTTTTTAAAAATACCTGAAGGATTTTGTATCTATCACCGGTGGTATTTTCTGTTATAAGGGTTTAAAGCAAAATCTTGCTTCCCTCCTTTTCCATTTTTCCCTGTCCCTTTCTGTCTCTCTTCCTCCCTCTATCCCTGTCCCCTACCTTTCTTCTCTAGCATGTCATTTTCATGAGAAATACATAAACATTGATTTTTAAAGTTGTATAAAGAGCCCAACTGACATATTAGTTGGTTGCCACCGAGTGGACCCTATGCTAACCTCTGCCTTACGTGACCTGATATCAAGTACCCGAATCATGAAATAATGGAGTGTGTGCACGCACACACGTGGGAGCTGGAGGAGGGGCAGAGAGAGAAGAAAAGGAAGAGAATCTCCAGCAGACTTCCTGCTGAATGTAGAGCCTGACCTGGGACTCCATCTCACAACCCTGAGATCATGACCTGAGCTGAAATCAAGAGTTGGAGACTTAACCGACTGAGCCACCCAGGCACCCCATTTTTTAAAAAATTTATTTTAAGATGTATTTATTTAAGGCTTTAAAATGTTGATGATGTTTCCTTCACCTGTGTGATGTGACACAGTGTGTCAGAACCACAGGATAGCCTCCACATGGCATGTCTTCCTGGAGTCTGACTTTCAGTCAGATGGAGGTGGAAGGGGAAGACTGCCAGAATATTGAAACACACATAGCTTCGTTTGAGAATACAGTGCTGTTTAAATCATATTAAAATTTTTAACACAGGACATAAGACCTAAGTGTGTGTCTTTAAAAATACCCTTTTGGCTGAATGCTCAGATCCCCCAGAATTCCAAGTTTTCTTTCCTCTATTTCTGGAGAAACATAGCTAGAAAATTTGCAGAAGCACGGTGGTGCCCATTTTCAGTAATTCGTTTTTCGGGAAATGGGAAAAGTGGCTGCCTCATGCTAATTGACCTTGTAGTGTGGAAAGTACATTAGAATAGAGGAAGCAATTTGAGATACACTTCTCAGTTTCATGGTCTGAGATTATGTACTTTGTTCACTCATGTATTAAACACGTATTTTCTTAACCTGGGCTTGGGGAAGAACTAAAAAAAGGAAGAGCAGGATGACAGATGGTGGCAAGTACAGCATAGCATTTGTAAGTCTTGTGAGTTTTGAAAGCCTAAAACCTAGAATACGGTATAGCACCTGTTTGATTTGTCGACCTTTCTTTCCATTGTTACTTTTTAGTGAGATTTAAACTTATTTCCATGCCCTTAGATGATTTCAACTCCAACGGTGAACTTGAAGAAGCGAAGCTTCCTAAAAGAAAGACTCTTTTGCCCTACAACCCAGAAGATTTGCAGATGAATCAAGGCTTTAATAAATACGATCTGTCTGCATTCTGCAGCTCTTACATGAAAAGTTCCTTGTCGCTTATTAACGCTACTTTAGATCAAGATTTAAATATGAGTGCTGTAGCAACTAATGAACATAAAACTATTCTAAAAGCTGAGATTAAGTCGGAAGGCGAAAATGGACTGAGAGCTGGCCCTGAGAGTGAAAGCAGTCATGTTTCTTGTGCTCCTGTGACTGCAGAGCCCCTGGCATCAGATGATGCAGAATCCAGTGCTATCCTGCCGTCCGGGGAATTGGCTGCTGCCGGTCAAAATGTGGAAAACCTTTTTCAAATCTTTAAGATTTCAGAAGATATGAACATAAAGTGTGAAAAACAGGATGACTTTTTAATAGCTACCGGAGGAAAACTGCAGCCCATGCGCTTAACGTCTGACTTACAAAATGAAGAGGTGTTAAGTGACAACGTAAAAGAAAGTAAAAGTCCGAGTGCGGGTTTGGGAAGAAACTCCATAGAAGGTCAAAGTAGCACTGGTGTGAGTGGTGGAAAAAAGACACATAGAAGACGCTCTACATGTTATTCCGACGGCCAGAGTTTATATTTGGAGAAAAATGGAAATCACAAACCTCCCTACGTAGTGAGCAGCTCTCTAGAAATTGGTTTAGAAAATTCTGAACTGTATAAAGATTTATCGGCCTCCATAGAGCAAACCTTCCAGAAAACAAATAGCGAAACAAAAGTAAGACGTAGCACAAGGCTGCGGAAAGATTTGGAAGATGAAGGGCTTGTATGGATTTCACTTCCATTTCCTTCCACGTCCTGCACTTCCCAAAGAATGAAAAGGAGAACAATATGTACAGTTGACAGCAGAGGATTTGAAAGCCTGTCCCTCTCTCAAGAAACTGTGTCTTCTGGACAGAAACCGAGTCTGTCGCTCCCCATATCAGGTAAAGAAAACAAGGAGGGCTTTGCTGCCGGTTTTTCCCATTTACCTGGGAAGAGGAGGAAGAGCCTCTGTACATCTACACTCGCAAATTCGAAAGATACAACTCAGTCCAAGTGCTACAAAAGAAGAATCTCTCTCAGCCAGAAGGGAGAGAGCTCTCTAAAGGACTTCGAAAGAGTGGGACATGTCTGGGAACTAAAGCAGTAACTGACATTTCCTATGGAGCATGTGACCGCAGAGAAGGTAACCATCCGTGCTTAAAAGATCCTTTCATTCTGCTTCTCATCCTTTGTTCAACTTCGGCGTTTTAAAAGTTTCAAATAAAATCATTTGAGGTGAACCTATTTTTATGTAGAAATAAGTGAATTTCTTCATTCAAAGGGGAAACGTTCTATTAAAAATGTTCTTCTCTCCCCAAATAGTACATATTTACTGAAGCTTTCACATTAGTACATGTTTACTGAAGCTTTAGAGTCTCTTGTAAAAAACATCAACCATCTTTTAGGATTGACTCATTCTGTCTGCAGGACAAGAGTTTAAAAAATAAAATGATAGAATTAATGTAATTTTACAAAAATTGAAGGTAATACAAGGTTAAACACTGTTAGAAAATGAGAAAAGATGTGTTTTAAAATGCTGCCCCCCCCCAAAAAAACTGGTTATAAATGTTAACAGGAAAGATGGAAATCATAAGACTTGTTGGTTTAAAGTTGAGAAGCTTTAATGATTTGCTTTGTCTCAAATGAAAATTGTATAATAATAGGTTACAATCACAACTTAAACATGGTATTCTGTAATTTTCTTTCAATAAGAATATTACAAATCTAGCATTGTAAAATGAATATATAGTTTATAATTAACTAAGGTGAAAGCATTTTGTCCTTCAAACAAGATTCTTACATTCTTTGTGGGGTGGGAGGTGCAGGATTGGTTTTTGGTGAAAACAGAACAGTTTAGTTGAATGATCTTCCAGATCATTCCAATTAGTCACATTTAGGATTTATTCCAGGAAATCCCAAATTAGCAATTTGGGATTTAATTCGTGGTTCTCCATTAAAAAAATTTTTTTTAATCCAGAAACTCTTAAGAAAGAGCCCTGGAAAATTCTTTTTACTTAACATGAAGTTGGGGGTGGTCTTTTTTAACATGGTCTTTTCTTTTCCAGCAGTTCTCTTTATTTCACAATATCAAGTACTATCACTTGTTTTGGATTTTCGTTACATTTCAGCAGTGGCCTCTCCTATCACTGTTTTGATGACAGCAGTTTGAAAATCTAAATTGCTATATATCTGGGATTTGTGAATGCACATAAATCATTGTATCATTAAACAATTGTCTTTGAAATCCTTTAAATCATTAAACTCTCCCTCTCCCTGATAGCAGAAACATGTTAACAAATAGAGCTCTCTATAAATAACCCAACAGGGAAGAAAGCTCCTGCTGAGCGCCCATTTCCCCCGCCTCAGAGAGAGACTATTTGTTACCTTCTTGGCACCAATAGGTCTGGAAGTCCTGCTGCTAAAGACTAAATGTATTTTACATTAACACTCAAAGTGATCCCCAATTTCTTCTGCTAAAGGGTGGATTGTTTAAAAAATTCTTTTCATCTTTACGCGTAAATTATTTATGGGCTTTTTTCGCCTGGTTTATAGTTTGGTATGGTTGGCAAATCTCTATCACTGAAAACAATCCCCCCCCAACCTACCCCCTCCCCCCAAAAATGGAGCTTTTTGGTTTTGGTAATTTAAAAAGAAAAAAGTAAAAACTTTCAGAAACATGCAGTGTTAAGGGTTTTGTTTTTTTAAAAGCTTTTTGTTCTCCTTGTTTAATGTGAAGGCTAAAACTACTGATCGTTTTTTCCTCCCCTTTTTGCCATATGATGATGTATGATCTCAGTTGTATATGAATTTTAAGAATTTCACATGCTTTGTTTTATTCCTCAAAATGTGCTAATGAGGATGAGGGAAACATTTGATCTGTGGGATTTTTTGGCTTGAGCTTTCAAATGTAAAATTCTTGTTTTCTGGCATCTCCAGTTAAAACTGTAAACTCTTGATGCATTTTGTTGGTTTCAGAATGTGTCCATATAAATGTTTTGTTGATATTTGTAAATAACAAATAGGCAGTTTTTTAAAAAACAAGAGGTCTGAGAAATCAAAGCAGTTTGGATATAGTTTTATCCACTGTCTCATTTGTATCCTAAGATTTGTGAAAAGTTAATTATTTCTGTATTTGATCATGCTTGCTTGTTTTTAGCTGTTTCTTTTCATTAATGGTTGAAACGGAAACTGGGCTTCAGAAGAGTCTGTCCTTGCCTTATCTTTTCTTACTGCTGTAACGCTTGTCTCATTTTGCCTTAGGAAGTCTGTATCTTTTGTTGCTCCTGTAGATGCTTGTTTGTTCCAGAAGATGGCAGCATGACATCTGGATCCATTACCTTAAACCCCTGGGCAGCTCTTCATCGTTGCTGGGGGTGCTGCTTCTCTTTAACTTTTATTTTCACTCATTTTTATCATGAAATGATATTTGTCTACTGGAAAAAGTGGAGAATGGTACACAATTGAAAACTGTCTTCCTTCACCGCATGCAAGCATCCTGCAGCCACACCTGCGTCTTCCCGAAAGCTTTTTGTGTAAACACTTAGCAACTGGCCTGTGTCTTCAAAACCTTCGCCTGTGCAAACATGTTTTCTAATGGGATCACTATAATGTGCTGTTCTGCAGCTTAATTTTTTTATTCAATAAACTTGCATGTTGTTATGGGGAGCCCTCATGCTCCTTTGGTCTTTTGAATCCCTGCATAGAGTTATATACTCTGCACATCCATAACTTAGTTAGCCGTCTCCTTACTAAGGGATGCTAGTTGTCTCCACTTCTTTGTGATTGAAAATTATGCCATGCTGGGCTTGTGCAAAATGTCCATAAGATAAATTCCTTGATATTAAAATTAAATGGATATCAAATTATCCTCCACAGTTCATACCTGCTACAATTCTCTCATAAAGATTTTGGCATGCATCTCCTTCACTCTACCTGTCACGTTCTTCTTCTTTAATGCCACTTTGCTTCCATTTTCTCTCACTGCCCCCACTGGTCCTTGAGCTGTGGAAGGGAACGTGGGGCTTACACTTGGTGTGACACGGAGAAAATGATTATTAATGCCCGATTCATGCTTTAGATTGAAAGAACTTTGTTTTTACTGAAGTCAGGGTTATTGAGGTGTAACTAACTCTAGTAAACTGAGTGAAGTTTACCTTTTTAGGCGTACAGTGTGAATTTTGGCAAATTCATCCAGTCATCTAATGACTACCGCAGTTACGTAATAGAACATTTCCATCACCCCGAGACCTCCTCCCTTTTTGTGGTCAGTCCCCCCTCCCCCAACCCCAGCCTCTCGCAACCACTTAGAGCAGATTTCCGTCCTTCGAATTTTGCCTTTTCCGCAGCATCATATAAATGGATATAAGAGTTAGAGCCTTTTGTCTTTTTTGAAATTTAGCAGAATGCTTTAGAGATTCATCCATGTTTCATGTCATAGTTGATTCCTGTTTATTGCTAAGTAGTAGTAGTCTGTTTTATGGATGTACCAGGTTTCTTACTCATTCACCAATCGATGGATATTTGGATTGTTTGTTTTTTTGACTATTACAAATAAAGCTGCTATAAACATTCACATATGGATTTTTTTTTTTTTTTAAGAGACGTTTTCATTTTTCTTGGGTAAATACCTAGGAGTGGGGATTCCTGGGGTGTATGGTTGGAATATGTTTAACTTTTTGAGAAACTGCCAGGCTTTTCCATCGTGGCTGCACCATTGCGCATGCTCACCTGCAACGTGTTCAGTTGCTGCACATTTTCACCAGCACCCAGCATTGTCTGCCTTTTTCATTGTAGGATTGTGGTTGCTGTGCAGTCATATCTCACTGTGGTCTGGATGTAGATTTCCCTAATGACTAATGATGGAGAACATCTTTTCCTGAGCTTATATGCCATTCTTGTATCCTCTTTAGTGAAGTGTCTATTCAGATTTTTTGCCCACATTTTCTTTGCTTATTGATGTTTTCCTATTGAGTGAAAGAGTTCTGTGTTTATTTGGATAAAAATTCTTTATTGGATGTGTCTTGCCAATATTTTTCCCCAGTCTGTGGCTTGTCTTTTTATTTTCTTAGCAGTGTCTTTTAATTTTGGGGTAATCTGTAATTTACCAATTTTTTTCTTTGATGGCTCATGCTTTTGTGTTTTATCTAAGAAGTCTTCGCCTAATTCAAGAGCCCAGGGATTTTCTCCTGTGTTTTCTTGTAGAAGTTTTAGAGTTTTAGCTCTCAGGTATTGAGTTAATTTTTGTATATTGTGTAAAGACCAGGGTTTGTTTTTTTTTTTTAATGGAAATTATTCACCATTCATTGAAAAGATTAGGGATTCCTCATTGAATTTCTGTGGCACTTTTGTTGAAATTGGTTAAGCTTATATATACAGGTCTATTTCTGGACTTTATTCTTTTCCATTAAGCTGTGTGTCTAAAACCAACATCACACCATCTTGATTATTATGGAAAGCTTTTTTTTTTTCCTTTATTTTGATTCTTTATCGTAGTTTATGTTTAAAAGTTCTTTTTGTGAGGGAGGCCATTAGAAGCAAAAGATTGACCAATCAATTCTATCTGGAGCCTACAATTATACCCAGACCTGCATTTCCATTTAGGGCTAAGAATCAATAATAAGCTATAAGAAATATGGGAAGGAAACCATCTTCCTCGAGTCCAAATACATTCGGCCCAGTGTCTTGTAAACTGGTTTGCTACAGTTCATGATTCTAAATTGTCACCCTGAGCCACTATAAGATTTAGTCATTGAGAAAGAAATCTCTTTTTGAATACTACCATATAAAATCAGCAAGAAAATAAAGTGAGTTGAATTAAAATAAGGTTCAAAAGTCTTTGTCAAAAATATTGTAAGTCTGATTCATTTCTTCTCATAAATAAGGTTGTTACTATAGTTTGGTTTTCGTGTAAAAACTGCCACTACCCTTACTCATAATGTAGCCTTAGCATTTGAGAATTACTTCTTAAACATGGGAAAATTTTCCTGCAGCAGGTCACCCGAGGTAGGCAGATTGTAGATTCATTAATATGTATGCCAGGCATTAATTTCTAATGTGATCACTGCCTTCAAAATGCTCAGTTTTCTCTAAGGGGCAGAATTATAGTCCAGGGTGAGTCTAGAGGAATGTCCTGGTCCTCTTAACCTTGCATTGTTACCACCTGGAGATCAGGTAAGTTTGGTTTCTTTTCTGGAAGAAGTGATGCTTGAACAAAATACACTAATGGGAATTTTAGGGGAATGGGA